TGCTCTGCATATGTGGGGTCACCTGAGTCAAATTGACTCCAAGGCAACTGGAAAAAACTGGAGCAGAAACAGGGAGTGAATAAACAGCCTAAGGGAAATAGGGTAGAGAAAGAAGACCTATGGACTGAGGACTAACCTGGAGAACCAGCAAGTCCACCCACCAGGAGGACAACTTTGTCTATTATTATGCAGAGAGAGTATTTTAGCTCCTCTTTGTCCATTCCAGAATAAAATCTTGGCTTTACTTTTGGATAACCAAAACGCCCATTAAAGTCCCCCCCCCGCCCCCAACAGAAGATCAGTCTGTCCTCAAAGGTAAGTTCTACCTCTTCTTTGTCAGAAGCAAGAAAAAGCTTCTGGGAGCCTTATAATAGCATTTTATCCCCTCTTACAGTTTATAAGTGAGCCCTAGTGGTGCAGTGGTTAGGAGCTTGCCTGCTATCCAAAGGGTCAGCAGTTCGAATCCACCAGCCGCTGCTTGGAAACGCTATGGGGCAGTTCTACTCTGTCCTATAGGGTCGCTATGAGTCGGAATCGACTCTATGGCAACAGGTTTGGTTGGTGTCTTAGTTATCTAGTGCTGCTATAACAGAAATACCACAAGTGAATGGCTTTCACATAGAGAAATTTATTCTCTCACAGTCTAGGAGGCTAGGAGTCCAAATTCAGGGTGCCAGTTCCAGGGGAAGGCTGTAAGGCTTCCTCTGTTGGCTCTGGGGGAAGGTTCTTGTCATCAGTCTTCCCCGGCCAGGGAACTTCTCAGTGCAGGGAGCCTGGGTCCAAAGGATGCCCTATTATCCTGGCTCTTGTTTCTTGGTTGTATGAGGTCTCCCATGTCTCTCTACTCATTTCTCTCTTTTATATCTCGAAAGAGGTTGACTCAAGACACAACCTAATCTTGTAGATTGAGTCCTGCCTCATTAACATAACTGCCTCTAATCCTGCCTCATTAACATAGAGGTAGGATTTACAACACACAGGAAAATCACATCAGATGACATAATGGTGGACAATCACATAATATTGGGAATCATGGCCTAGCCAAGTTGACACATATTTGTGGGAGACACGATTCAATCCATAACAGCTGGTTTGGGTACAGTCATAAAGGTTTCAGAATGTTGGGGTTCAACTTGGTACTGCCAATCAAAAATTTAAATGTCCGTATAATTTGACCCGGCCTCTTCACTTTTAGGAATCTATGCTATTGAAATGCTCATACCAATATACAGTACAGCACTGATAGTAATATTGTAATATTAAAAATAAATAATTTAAATGTGCATTAGTAGGGATATGACTGAAACTGAATAGTTGTGGCCTATCCATAAATTGGAATGATACGCAGCTATTAAAAAAGAATGAGGTAGTTCTCTATGTACTGACATGGAAGGGTTTCCATGATATATTAGAGAGTTATAAAAGTAAGTTGCTGAACCATATAATGTAATTCTATTTTCACCTGAGTATATGCATTTGAATCTTTGTGTGAGTGTATATATAAACAATATAGGCATGGAAGTAAGTCTGGAAGGATACTTCAAATATTAACAGTGGTTACTTCTGGATAGTGGGATAGAGAAACTTGATATAGGAATGTGTAAAGAAAAATGTTAAAGACTTTTTTAGAGCATGTATTACTTTTGTGGTTTAAAAAAGTGTAAACTCATCAGCTTGCTTTGCTGGCACATTGGACGCTGGCCTGTTTAGCACTTTTCTGTCTTCTGGGATTTGTATTGCCAAATTTTTATTTTTGAGAGCTTTCCAACCCTCTTGCCTTGCCTTCCTTTTGAGACACACTGACTGTGGGATCCTTATCTTTTCTTTGAATGAACAAGACAAGACAAAACTCCGTTCTGCAAGTCGAGGACGAGTAGTTTCAAACTGTATTGGGCATCAGAATCACTTTGGGTGCTTGTTAAACATCCCTACCCAGTAGGTTCTGATTCAGTGTGTCTAGGTTGGGGTCCAGGAAACCTGATCTTTTAGGAGGTCAGTGAGAAATCCTGGTTTCAGGTACTGACGTCTGATTGTGCTCCCCTCCCCCACTTCTGTCTCTGTAATTAGCAATTGGCAAAAGGAAATGAGGGAGCAAAGGATGACTCATCGTGGCTATCTCTGTGGGTCACAAATGGTTGGGTTCATCTGAATGGGAAAAAATGAATAAAACATAGTTTAATAGACTTGAAAGTTTAGTAGTTTTTTTTTTTTTTTAAAGTAGCCTATGTTAAGTGGGCCCTCTGCGTTAGCGGCTGATTGCGTGGGCTTCCTAGTCAGTGACTCCAGCCTGTGAGGTGCCATTCAATAATGGCTACCTTTGTCATTATGGAAGGGGTGGAAGACCTTGGCAAGTCTTAGAATTCAGGTACTTTTCAAGTGAAGTTTCTGATTAAGATGAGGTACTATCTATCCTGTCTAAACAGTTTTTAATCTGTTAGAATGATGTTTTCTTTGTTACATACAAAGTCTGTTAACAAGATACCCATTGTGGGTTATTTATATCTCAAAGGGTGTTCTAAGAAACATAAACCCAATTGCTTCTAACAGTTAATCTTGGGAACAGAAGTAAATAGGAATACTTCTTAAGTACCTTTCTAAGCTCTCAGTGAGGCTGGCAGCCATCAGTTAAATCAACCATTAGGTTTATTAGTTTGAGAACAAAAGCATCAACTTGGGCACAGTTTTCTAATTTGCTCCTCATTTACTCTGCAATCATTTATTCAGAGGCTACTCTGCCTAGTGGACATTAGATAACTCTGCAGATAGAAGCCAGACAATCATGAGCAGCTGGAAGTCCAGGGGTATCAACTGAATGGAAAAAAAAAAAATGAATAGAATTCAGTTTAATAGGCTTGAAATTTTAGTTGCATGTGTAAAACAAAAAGTACATTCCTTAAAGCAATAGCCTTGTTCTTTGTGTAGTCTATTTTAAGTGGGCCCTCTGGCCCAGAATGATCAACCTTGGATTTGGAGCTTTAAGGAAATGGTGGTTTTTTAAAGAATTTTTTTAAGTAACGTAGTTACTAAGCAACTACCGTGACCCACTGCTAAGTTGGAGATCAGCGGGCAAGTCAGTTCCCAAAAGAAGGGAATATATAAACAATTGGTTATAGGAGAAAAAGGCTTAAGGAGACATTGGATGTATTTTTTTTTCTGGGTTCAATGTGTACTTCTGCCTTTTACTTACTTACTTTCTCCAAGAAAGGGCTGCCTCGTCAAAAATCTCTCTGTCTCACATTGCTCTCTTAGTCAGCTCAGAGGAGAGCCAGAGAGGAGTGAACTAGAAAAGATCCCGGGCCAGGGTGGAGGGCCGAGCCCTGGAGTTGGGCCAGTGTCCAGGCGACCTCTAGGTCTGGCATGTTGCTCTCAGGCAGTCCAGGGCTTCTGTGACAAATTGGTCACCACCTTTAGATTTGGATACGTTGTTGATATTGATGTGTTGCCTTGTAATCCTCAGAACAGGAGCATTGTCCAGCCGTTGCCTCTCCCACCCACCCTAACATTTAATGGGTGAGTCAGTAATTTAACTACTTCCTCCAGAATTTAAGGGATGGGAGTAGGTAATGAGGGCAGATCACCATAACAGCAGTTCGTGATGAATGAAAGAGCACACAAATTTAACCAGTTGGCTTCATTGATGACACAGCGAACCAAAGGAAACTTTGTTGAGAAGACGATGTTTGTGTGAGTTAGAACTCCATCTCTCCTCTTTAGGCTGCTTAGCATTTACCTTTATACCCAGCTGAAGGTCAGGTTGCTTTGCTGAGGGAAGGGGGAGGGTCAAGTGTTGGAACAGGTGTTTTGTTTTCTGCCTGTAGACTCACACAGATTAGATCAGGATGCTTCTTGCCAGCCCTTTGTGGTGTGTGAAAGTGCTTTTGTGGAATTTCCCCCTGGAAATGTGTATGTGTGTATGTGTGTTTTTAAAGCAGTTTCCCTGACCTTCAACCCCTACAATGAATTTTGACTTCCTTTAAAATCAGCTTTTCATAGTGAAGTATGCCTGTTTTCTTCCATTTCCACAGCTTGTGCCATAGATGTGTTCCATTTTATGCAGCAATCATCATCCTAAAAAATGTAAATTGTGTAAATTGTGTGTGCATTAAATGTGAATGTCAGATTTTAAATGCACTAGGAGAATGTTAGAGCAAAGCAGTCCTACAGACAGACTTTTATAATAGTCGTACGACTGTAGTTAACTTTCCTATATCGGGTTTTCTTAAATTGGAGTAAACCGGTCGTTTCCAGAATGACAAGGTTGTTTCAGGCTGTTGTGATGGTCTCAAGGGATACAAGGCTGGGCGTGGACCTATGACGCTACTGACTACATGATTTTGGAGGAGAGAGGTATCAGCCACCTTCTAGGTTTGAGAGAATTTGTGTTTTAATGTTTAATTGTTAATGAGGGCAAAGACACTGCTAAAAGGGAAATAAACTCAGGAGAGCTTTATCTCCTCGTATGGTTGTCTGGTTTTTTGTTTGTACCTTTGTACTGGGTCCCAGTCTCCCCCTTTTAAAAAAGGTAATCCAGGAAGAAATTTTTTTCCCCTAACCTAGGAATGAAATAGTGGCCGCGGGTCCTTTCCAGCCCTTCCACTCTGCATCTCAGGGCCATCTGTTCTCTGAAATCCGCTTTTTTGGAAAGTTGCCTTTCCCATCTGCTCTCCTTAGGCTTTAGTGCCTGCTCTAAAGATTTATAAAGGCCAAACTGGAACCTCTTTCTAATTGTTGTTCTTTAAGGATCAGTGAGATTTCAAGGCAGATAAAAGCTTTTTCCATTTGACATTCCCAAATGTTACTCTGTTTTTCAGGTACATTCTTTCCTTCTGTTAGTTTGGGTGTGGAGGGAAGTCTGTCTTTCTGGGCTTGGAGGAGGAATTCTGCTTATCACTGCAAAGATTGACTGGGCTGCTTTGAACCCAAGTGTCCCCAGATTTTTGGTGGCTAGCATGCAGGCTGGGTTCATTCTTTTCCTCTTCTTTCCCTTGTCTCCCTGACAGAGTACAGTCGCTTTGAATCAAAGATACATGACTTACGAGAACAAATGATGAACAGCAGCATGAGCTCTGGGTCTGGGTCCCTCCGAACAAGCGAGAAGAGGTCCTTGTATGTCAGGTAAGCTGAACTTCTGAGCACCAGACTCTGTACTGGAAGAGGGGAGCTCTGCACCAACCCAGCCCTTCTTGTTTAACTAGTGGGGTAGGGAGTGTGTACTCCCAGTACTAAAAAAAACACTTCTCACTGTGTGCTCGGGTTGTGTATTTTATGGTCAGTATCTCCTCCCTTTTGTGAGCTGGCTTCATCCCTTTTGCTCATGAATGACTCAGTACGAGATAATTTCAGTTTGCTCTAATTGTAGAATATTGTTGGGTGGTTGTTGCTAGTCAGCATTCAAATAGCACTCGAACGTTCAAAGTACTTTGCTTGCAATCTGTGATTTGAGGGACAGCTTGGCACCCCCCTTCCCCTTTCACATATGCATAATAGACATCAGGATTTGTATCTGAGCATACCAATTATCATTATGTTTTGATACAGGGTGACAAACCTTTTAAGAGACCAAAGAACTGACAGGTTGCCGCATTCCGGGTTTTTTTATTGTGTTTTCATCCCTTCCCTCCCCTCTTCTATTGGTCTGGTATATCTATGAATCATGGGACTGGAGCAGATATATAACATCAAGTATATTTCCTGTTGCTGCTGAAAGCATGTTCTGAGATACTGTCCAAGGCTGAACTTTTGAATCTTGAGGCATATTATAATACTTTGTCAGGTCAAAGTACAAACCTCATGGGGAGTTTTACTGCTACGTGAACACTGTGGATTCCTTGCAGAATTAGCGAGTTTCCCTCTTCCTTCCTGGAACCCTGGTGGCTCAGTGGTTAAGCGCTTGGCTGCTAACCGAAAGGTCGGTGGTTCGAACCCACCAGCTGCTCCATGGGAGAAAGATGTGGCAGTCTGCTTCCATAAAGATTACAGCCTTGGGAACCCTCTGGGGCAGTTATACTCTGTCCTATGGGGTCACTATGAGTCGGAATGGACTTCGCTGGCAACGGGTTTGGTTTTTTGGGTTCTTTTCCCTCTTCTTGCCTTGGCTTCTTGGCAGAACTCCAACAATCTTATGCAAGTACATTGTATCTCCAAGCTTAAGTTCCTTAGAGAAAGGTGATAGGCTTACTCCTCTGAGCCAGAAGTAGCTGTGTGTGCACAAGTGTGGAGTTGCATCAAACTCTTGAGCTGAACTTTGGCAGGCTTTCTCTAGTGGCCTCTGAAACCTGCTGGGGGAGGGGAGGTTACATTTGCTAGTTGCCTGGCAACTTGATAACTGCTCTGTCCTATGTGAGATGATAGTGAATCAATGTAAATGCTAATTGCAGTTCTTTTCACAATGCTTGATTTTCTTTCTCCTCAGTTGGTAGTCCCTGACCCTATGGCAGGGAGCCAAGGGAGCTCATCTTTGAGCCTGAAGCCCACTAGAACCCTTCATGTTCTCTTCTAAAATGAACCCTCAACTCACCTCCTTGTGTGTTGAGAGCAGCTTTCTTCACATTTGCTGTGCTCACCTCCTGCTGTGAAGGGAAGAGAATCGTGGGAAGGCTGGACTAGTCACTGGTGATCTTTGAAGTCTCCCAGAAAATAAAATCCTGCCTTCTGTGACTAAGCCCGTGCCCTGGGTCTGCAGCCTAGACACTGGGGCACTAATGCGGGGAGTCAAAAATGTGCTGTCTTGCCTTGAGAAAGGGTAATTCTTATGTGATTTGGTCAGGATTGTTCCGTTCCCGTGCTTCCAGCCCCCGCAAATGTGGCACTCCAGTGTGCGTGGGAAGCTGCTCTTTAGGCAAGACGGTTTCTTCAGAGAGCTTTATTTTTAGATTTCCCCTCTCCGCCTATCCTGTGCTAGAGTTCTCCCTGCCTGAGCAGGGAGAGTGGAGCATTGAGCTCCCTATTAGAACACCCTTCTCTGGCCCGGGCCTAATGTTGGAGAGAAGGATGGAGACTCATAATTCTGTTTCTAGTGAATCAGTCTATATAATGTTAAAAACCTAAATGCACAGAGAAACACCTACAATTAGTGCAATAGAATATATTTATTGTGAGTAGATACGATTCGAATCAGGCAGCATCAACTGAAAAAGTATAGAGAAGGCGCTCCGAAGAGGGGACAGTGAAAGCAGGTTATATAGGCGGAGTCCAGGCAGGGTAGTCTCCTGAGGGGCATTATAAATTCCTTCTGTGTTGGTTTCTTCCAGGAGGGCTTCAGGGTCAGTCAGTTGCAAAAACAGTCATTAAGGACATGCCATGTATTCTAAAACATAGCTTCCAGTCAGATCCTGGAGTTCCTGCTTCTCGAAACTGCCCGCACATAGATACTTCTCCAAAAGAGCCCAATGCCTAAGGCAGAATGGTCTCCTCTAAGCTGCTTTACTAGGCTGTTGTTTGACCTGAAGGTGTCTCCAGACAAACCAGTTCCTTAAAGGCTCATGGTTCAAAAGGACACCTAAGGGCAAATGATCTGAGCGGGTCACCCCAACTCCATGAACCCAGAAATCTGGATTCCAGGAGAATTAAAACGGTTTCTCAATAGTCTGCCCTCAACCTTGTCTAGATAACATCTGTATCCTCTGAGGAAAATAAGTATAAACAATTGTATTTATATATCATTTATATGTATATATATTATATAATAGAGTTAGAATATAAAACTGTTCTAAACTAGAATAGATAACATTTGGGATCACTCGACTTAATCTAGGGAGATACTGTTTTATGGCTAAAGCAGTGAGCTGAGGTTCTCTGCTAAGCTGACCCCTTTACTGGAGCCTGGCTTGCTTTCTTCCCTTTCACTCCTGTTTTTGGCCTTTCACTCTACACTGGTTCCTTTTCTTCAGCATACGTAAAAGAAACACATTTCCTTGGTACCGATAATCCCTTCAACTGTTGTCTTGTCTCTCTTCTTTTGCTCACTGGATTTGCCAAATTATATGCCGGGAAACACTAGTTCCTCAGGATGTTACTAGGTATTGTGTGACAAATCAGCTCTGTGGTTCAGGAAGCAGGGCAAATGCAGGATTAGACAGAGGAAAATAGGTTTCTTTACTGTAGGATTTTCTTAATTGCCAGGAGGGAGTACAGTAGGCAGTGTTTCCCCAAAAGATAGGAGCATGAGACCTTAATTTGGAGAAATCTGTCTTAACATCTTCAGGAACTAATACACAGGTTGGGAAATGTTGGCGTCATCAGTACTTGCTGCTGCTACTTTTTCAAATTGCCTCTCTTTTAGTAGCCCAGAGGAGCAGAAGTCCAATTCTCTGTCAGTAATCAGCAGTGACCCCTTAGTTGTCAAATTCAGTGACTGGTTCACTGGTTCTCTGACTTTGGTCTGACCTCTTCACCACATTTGTTTCCACAAATTACCTACTTCTTTCTTTAAAGGCTTTCTTCCTACTTCACTCACCATTGCTCTGTATCTTTCATTAGCTCTGTCCCTAAATGGCAATGTCATTGATTTTCATAGCTTCAGATACTGTCCTATAAATGACATCTCTGATCTTTTTACTGAGCTCCAGACCTGCATGTCAACTACTTGCTGGACATGTACATAAAGCTGCCGTCCCACTGCCTCAAATAAGCCGCTCGTTCACAATGGACTCCCCTCCCCCACCTTACTCTCAGTTAATTGCATCACCCTGTCATGTGGAAAAGGGATTAGATTTGTTCTGTCACCCAAGGCAGATTTCAGCTCAATGTAAGGAAGAAAGAGCTAATGATTAAAGCTGTCTGAAAATGGAATGGACTGCTTCCAGACATAGTAAATTTAATCTTTTGTCACTGGAGGTGTTACAGAAGAGTCTGGATAACTGTTTGCCTGGGTGTTGTAGGAAGGGTTGAAACTAAAGCAACAGTCTGGACAGGTCATGGATTACCCTGCTCAGAAACTTTCAGTAGTTCCCCAGAGTCTTCAGGATAAAGGGGAACAAACATTTAGGGAACACCTATGTCTTACTTATCTAGTGCTGCTGTAACAGAAATAGCACAGGTGGATGGCTTTAACAAACAGGAATTTCTTTTCTCACACTTAGGACACTAGAAGTCTGAATTCAGGGCACCAGCTCTAGGGGAAGGCTTCTGTCTCTGTTGGCTCTGTGGGAAAGTCCTTGTCTCTCCAGCTTCTGTTCCTTGGCTCCTTGGTGATCTTCATGTGGCGTGGCATCTGTCTTCTCCCATCTCTGCTTGCTCACTTGCGTGTTTAATCTCTTTTATATCTCAGAATAGATAGACTTAAGACACACCCTACACTAATACTGTCTCATTAACATAACAAAGAAAACCCATTCCCAGATGGGATTATAACCACAGGTATAGGTTTAGGATTTACAACACGTTTTTGGGGGATACAATTCAATCCATAACAACCTACTTACATCAGGACCTTTGTTATTATTCTCTTTAAATAGCTTTAAACATCCTTTTACTAATGCTACAAAGTAGACATTATTCCCATTTTCAGGTGAGCAAACCGAGAGCCCAGTTACACAGCTAAGAAATTCCCAAGCTGGAATTTGAATCTGGTTGTTCTGACTATAAAGCTTGGTTAGTACACCATTTCTCAAACTTGCTGGATAGGAATCGGTTGGAGTGCTAGTAAAAATACAGATTCCTAGGCTCCCTGTCTAGCCATTTGGATTCACTAGGTCTGGGAAAGGAGCCCTGGTGGTGCAGTGGTTAAAGTGCTCAGCTGCTAACTGAAAAGATTGGTGGTTTGAACCCACCAGCTGCTCTGTGGGAGAAAGATGTGACAGTCTGCTTCTGCAAAGATTACAGCCTTAGAAACCCTATGGGGCAGTTCTCTGTCCTATAGGGTCGCTATGAGTCGGAATCAACTTGACAGCAACAGGTTATGTGGAAGGCAGTAGGGCACAGGGCTAAGAATTTGGGCCTGGTTGGAGGGTAGAGTCAAGGAAGCAGCAGATGTGATTCCTGCCCTCTGGCAGCTTGCCATATTGTCAGAAGATAGTAAGCAGCAGGTGGTCAAAGTAGAGGAACCCTTTTCAGTTTTGGTGTTACCTCTTACTCTTTTTGCTGTTGGTTCCTCTTGCAACATGTTTCTCCTCCCT